ATGAAACAATAAAAAAACAGAGCATTTGCAAAAAAATAAAAAATAATATTCAGGACAAACGCATATTATCTTGCTGTGTAGCTCATTGTTTAAGAGATGTTACACATACCTCTTCTTGACATTGAACCTAAAACAAAGACAGAAAAATACAACCATGACTATGAATAAACAGAAGGTAACTGTTTTTTCTGGTATGTGATAAATAAATATTTGCATGCATTGTGCTTGCAGGGTATCCCCCAGAAAACCTGATAAGCCCAGTGGTTGGGTGTGACGGCAGTCAGTCATCCCGTAGCCTGTCGTGTTTTTGAGTTAAAAAGTTTAAAGTTGACGGGAAATTTGAAATTATATTTTGATAATTATGTGTTATTGAAAGATTGGAAGATTAACACCCAAACAATAACTATAAAGTCGTAAAAGATGCAAACATTTGACAAAAACTAGAATAAATAAACAATGCTTAGCCTGGTGGCGGCACAAATAAAGACTGGTGGCCCCACCAGGCTTATAATACGCTGTGGGAAACCCTGAAATGTATTGAACTGTATGATAGAATCCTACCATTCAATCAATATACTAATATGAACTATTATACAGAAAAGTATGTTTTTTTTTAAACTATATAACCCAGTGCTATAAAGTAGCATTATTTCACTGTAATTTGTAAGGTTTTTGCTAGTCTATATTCATGATAGAAGTTACATCTCTCTTTTCGGTTATAATACAATATTTAGTAAAACTACGGACACACCGTCTGCTATCAGAGAGCTGCTCAGTACAGATTATCGTAATTGTGAGTTTAATCACTGGGAGCGACAGGAACACGACCGTTAAGTTTTGTAACGTTACGACCGTGAATTAGCAGCGCTGCTAACAGCTCGTTTCTCTGAAGAACTGACAGTAGTACAGAAAAAGCAGAGAAGAGCTGAAATCTGTCATAGATCTGAGTTGCGCCAACAGTCAGTGAAGTAACTACATATGCTAGTGTGACTTGAAGAAATGTGGCCATTTCTTCAAGTTGTCATCCCTCCCCGCAAAAAAAAAGTTCTATCAGCGACAAGCTGCTGTGATCAGCGATACGAATGGTAAATAACAACC